CTTTTATACACTAGCATTTTAAGTTGTCCTATAAAATTTTCTATTAAATAAAAAATAAAAAACATAAAAAATACAAAGCACCATTGTAAATGAATTAGGAACGAAACTAGTGCTATTAAAAAATAAAAATTGTTAGGGAGCACGAGTGTAAGTGAGACTTAGTGTAACATTTAAAAGATCACATTGGAATTTAGTAACATGGCAAGCCTTTCATAAAAGTGCTGCAAATACCAAAATGGAGAAGTGAAGACAAAAGTTAATTAAATTCCAATGAAGAATTGCACGTACAGTTATTTTTTTAAATTTTTTTTTTCAGTGGGGTATCCAACTGCATTGGCAACCGATTACAGTTATTGACGGAGATTTGAATCCTGAGGGAGAGCTTCGTTGATTTGGCTTTCATGAAAACTCTATTCATTGAGTATCCAGTGAAGGAAGTTATGCCATATAGATATGAATGGTCAAGTGGCTGATCAAGTTCGAAATGCAATGAGGAATTTGATCGTCAAAAGTTAACGGTACTTGACAGTTTGAGGTGCACAACTGGTGCAAGGATTCCAACTTCTTCAGGAATGGGTCTTAAAACATTAAATCATTGCTACGTGACAAATTAAAATACAGGTCTACAAGGAAAGTGAGATGCCCAATTTCGTCAATAGTGGAACTCGAAAGCTGATTATGACTGAGAAAATGGTAGTCAACCTCTGCTCAATTCTCCTACAAGATTGTGGAATTTGATTGCAAAGGGTATTATTACATGAAAGATGGAATTCCACTAGAATTTTGTTTTTATCCATCCCGATACTTTCAGAATAGGTCCCCAAAGAAAAGTATATATAATGTGTGTGTACATATATATACATATACACACACTAGTAATGGAGTACGTATTTTGCACGTGAACATGATGCTTTTAGATTCTTTTTTCTTTCAAATTTTTAGAAAATCAATTATTTTGAAGGAATAAATGTAATTGAGACAAAAAATGTGATATTTAATATTTATATTTTTTTATATTTTTTTGAACTTAGTTTGCCCTAACCAATATAAATGCACAAGCAACAAATTATTTTTTATTCCAAGACTACTTTTATTTTATAACAATATCAATATTTGCATCTTTTGGTTAAATTTAGATGATCTAAATGTTCTTTTTTATGCCGTTTGAGTTTAAATTTTTAACTTTTTGAATAATTTGTTGCTCCTCTTTAAGTCATTCTATGAATTGTTTATTAGTTTTAGTGAAATTTTCTAATTATTATTTTTTTTTGCTAATGGTGAATTGTAAAATGATCTATAGTGTTATTGTAATCATAATAGTATCTAAATATATTGAAATTCCATTGTTCAAAATTAAATAGCTTAACTTTGAAAAGAATTGTTTTGATTTGGAGAAATTTATTTTTATTTCTGACTTATGACATGCTTTATGATTATAGAGTTTATATGATTAAGAATTGTAAGATATTAAGATTATTTATTATATAATAGTCAAACTGAACTTGGATATATTTTTATTCACCTTTGAAGTACTCCTTGAAATTGATCTTTTATAAAAAAAAAAAATGTTTTTTGGCTTAATTCACCTTAATTCAAAAGGATGTTTCACCTTTGTAATTAGTATTATGATTGGCATTGATGAATATAATATTATTCATTAGTTGTAGTTTAATACTGTTAGTTGTTACAAGAACATGATTGATAATGCTCATTAAATTTAATCTGTATTGCAATTTAAATAAATAAATTTTCAACATAAAACTCTTTGTCTACCTCGATACCTCATTCCTATAATATTTTTAATTAAGGTTTTTTTACTCGATACTAATATACACATATTAAAAAGGTGCTCTTAAGGCTTAATTTACTTGTATTCAAAAAACAAAAAGACTCATGGTACTTTTTAAGAGGCTCATAGTACCAATTTATTATGTTTTGATTCATGTTTGATGTACTCTCTAAACTTGGATTTTGTAAATAAAATTTGTTCTTCTTTCTTTTGGTAAATTAAAAAGTAAGAAATCTTTCATGTTTGATATTATTTAAAAATCTTTCATGTTTAAAAAAGTAAGAAATCTAAACTTGTGCTAGCATGTTTGATATTATTTATTAAGGACAATGCAATGCAATTAGTCCATTTATTAGAGAGGAGTGTAGTTTTGGCATCATAAAAACTAATATCATTTTTTGCTTACACTAATAACAACTATGATTCACTATTTTTTTAATAATTTATAAATTAAATTTGCTCTCTTTTTCAATTTAATTTACTATAACTCAAAGGAACGTTTTTCATTCTTGTAATTGTTGGCATAATTGATATTAATTATTGATGAAATACAATGAATTGATTGTTCTTATTTTAGTTTAATTCACCAGAATCACCACAATTCAAGGAATATTCTTTGTAACTGTTAGCATAATTCTTATTAATTATTATTAACGAAATGCAATGTAATCTGTCCATTTATTAGTGTCAGGGGCAATATTAGTATTACAAAAATTAAGATCAGTTTTTACTTGCACTCACACTAAAGACTCATCGTGTTTTTTATATAGTAATAGATAGATATGTGTGTGTATATATATGCCAGAGTTTCCAATTAATATAAGTGAGGAATTTGACTAAGTATCATTTCTTGATAAGATTGATCACATTTAGGTTTGAGTAATTGACAATTCACAAAACAAATGCATAAGATATTGATTTTTTTTTCGAAACGATAAATGATTTTATAACATAAGATAATCTTTACAAAATCAAGCAAAGGCTCGATAACTAAGTACAACCAGTGCATATTAGCACTAAGGAACCACAAATTCCTCATCTTGAATGATATTCAACGCATAAGCGCTAATCCTATTACTCAAATGATTATTATCTCCATCAACTAGGCAAAAAGAGCACATTCGAAACAAAGCCTTCAAAGTGAGAATATCCTCGAGCAGCGTTGTGACCATAGTTATTAAACCCGGCCCGGAGGGGAACCCGGCGAAAGAGGTGGGTGAACGGGTTACTGGTTCAACCAGTGAGTGAGTGGTTCAACCGGTGGGTCACGAAATATATTTAAATATTATATTTTATAATTTTTGATATGATTAAAACTATAATAAATTATGTCATAGTAAATGCTCAATTAGTCTAATTTATTATAGAATCATTAATTCTTATAAGAATTAACAAAATCTAAATTCAATTAGTAATCCATCAAATTTCAAGAATAAAATTTTATCTAAGTATAATTATCTAGTTTATTTATGAATTTTAAATGCAAAAAATTATTAGAAACGATATTTGCCTTTAGAATGAATTATGTGATATGTTATTTTTTAAATTCATTTCATAATTTATAGAGTCAGGAGAGTAATAAAATTTATTAAAAGATTCCAAATAAATTAGGTTTTGGAAAATTAAAAAAAGAATAAGTCTAATATATAATAAAAAAAAAACTAAATGTTAAACAAGTGAGCTGTTGGTGTAGCGGTTGTTGCATTTCTTTAAATACAGAAGGCCGTTGGTTCGAAGCGTCACTACAGCATCTTCCAAATATTTTTAACATGCAAACCCGGCGGATTCCTACAAAACCGGACGGTTCTCCGGGTTTGACCGGTTGAACCGCCGGTCCGTTGAAAAGTCAACGGGTCAATTGTCAAAACGATCTAATTAGCGAACCGGCCCGGCTCAATGGCCGGTTCACCGGGTTGACCGGTCGAACCGCCGGGCCGGGCCGAGTTTAATAACTATGGTTGTGACACGCATGTCCTGCGTTTTGGCATAAGATATTGATTGGACCATCTGAGACGTTCTTTTTCGCTTTTCTTTTTTATTTTTTATTTTTTTGTTTGTTAAACTTTTTGTTTTTGTGGGACGAGTTCTCAAGTTTCTTGCTCAAAATCGATAGGATACACAAATTTTTATTTAGAACACTTTTGTAGCTTTGGCAAATTATACGTCATATGCACAAGGATTTGCAAGAAGCATCAAAGCATAAGAAAATACCAAAAAGGAATAAAAAAATAAAGCATAACAAATCCAAAACAACAAAATTTAGAGAATGCAATTACCAAAACCAGTAATTGAAATTTAAGTGCTCATATACAAAGAAGATACTTTGAGGGTCCCAGATATGATTAGTTACTAGAAGAGGAGGGGGGAAAATCAGCTGTTAGATACATAGTAAATTTCATCAAGCTTCAGCTTTCAAATTTCCAAATTGTATTCTTAATATGGTTTTGGCTATTCATGGTGTTGCATTAAGTTGCTTGGTACATAAATATTTCTCAAACTAAGTTATATTTTATTTTACTTGTAAAACAGGGAGGGGTGGAATCTAATAAGCTAAAAACGTTAAAATGAGATTTGAGTTTGACCTAGAATCTCTAATTCTTGGGATTTCAAACTCAACACTCAACTCAAACTCTAGATCAAAGCTATCTCAACGTAGTGTCATAAGCTCGTCGGAGAAAGTTTCTACCCTTCCAAACATTAGGACGAAAAAGATGGCAATGCGTTGATCAGGTCATCCTCCTATAGTTGCAGGCTGCAGCTTCCTCTGATTGTGAACCAAGTAATGTTAGTACCTATTAGAAATACAAAGGTCGGCCTAGTTTTAGTTGCTGGATTCCAATGCTTCTACATCCAAACATGTGAGACCTCTAAATAAGCAAGTGTTGAGACGTCTAATTGAAAGCTTTCCTGGTTCTGATTTTTCACCAAGAAGTAAGAACTCTGATGTTTATATGTGATGCATCATTATCATCATTCCCATGTTTGTTTATTTGAAACACACAACAGAAGAGTTTATTGATTTTCCTTAGAAGTTTATATACATAATTCCCGAGATTAGACCTTTGTGACATTTGTCCTAGGCAAGGGAAAATAGAAGAGAATTTGTTGTTACTGATCAAACATCCAAATCTATTCTTCTACAACCATGCTCAGCCAAATCACATCTTCAACATTATTCCTTTCCGGATGCAAAAGACTCTTCTAAACCTTTCTACCACGGACCAGGTAGTCCAGATGCTTTCTTTAGTGCTCCACTTCCAGAGCCTGGCTCAAGCTGTTCAAAATATCAGATCGAAAAATTAGAAGATTAACAGTTATACAAATGCAGTATCTTGGGGTCAAGTTTTGAATGTGCAATTCATCCTACGTAACTCTCTGACTAAAAGTTTACCCCTGTTTTTGCACTTACATTCTATACATCCTTAAACCAGGGAATCCAAGTAAATTTTAGCCAAAATGTAATGAGTTGCAAACCCCGAAAGTTAGAAATTTCGGATAAAGAAAAGGAAAGATACATACACATAGAAGCTCTAAAATTTGTGGTTTCCAGATCAAGAAGTTGTCCAATTGTAACCATTGGAAATATGTTGAATTGAGTAGGAATTTCTTTGGATAGTTGGACGGACATTTGTTTCATGGTCGGCCTCAACTGAGGATTGGGCTCTATACATGACAATGCTAGCTTTGCCATCAACACCACTAGTTTTGATTCTTGCTTACTTGGAGATGAAAGTCGAGGATCCACAATGTCTTTGAGTAACACACTATATGCTGTTGAAGTAGATGATGGTGCTGACAATATTGACGATATGAAATCACCTGGATGCTTGCCCATGATCACTTCTAAAACCAATGCACCAAAACTATAAACATCACATTTTTCATTTACTTCCATTGTATAAGCAAGTTCTGCAATCCACCAAATCAATAATCACTTCAGGCAATTATGTAGATGAATTCCTTCAACTTTTTAAATAAAAAAAATAATCTAAAGATAAAAGCTAGATTACTTAGAGCAAAGAGCAGTGTACCTGGAGCAACATATCCATAAGTTCCTACAAATGTAGTCCAATTAGATGAATCAAGCCTGATGAGTCTTGCAGTGCCAAAGTCAGAGATGCAAGCTTGATACTCGGAATCTAACAAAATGTTTTTGCTAGATATTTCTCGATGAACTATTGAAGGAGAACAATCTTGATGCATATAGGAAAATGCAGTTGCCATATCTTTTACCATGTTTGCCCTCTTGCTCCAGTCAAACTTGGATGTTGTTTCATCATTGCTCAATAGCTGCATCAAGTTTCCCCCTTCCAAGAATTCATATACCAAAAAAGTATGTTCTATATGTGTACAAAATCCGTACAGCTTCACGATGTTTCGATGCCGTACATTTGTTAGTGCACGGATCTCATTAGTGAAATCTTTCAACCTCCTCAAGGTACCACCATCTGTTGCATGAAGTTTCTTGACAGCAACAACTTGACCATTTGGCAACTCTGCTCTGAAAACACTTCCACGTCCTCCCACTCCGATGCAATACTTGGGGTCAAAATTTTCTGTTGCATCAATGATGTTTTCATAGACCATTTTCCCATCAAAGCTCCAGATAGTGAACAAATTTCCTGTTAATTCTAGAGGTTTATTCTCCACATGTCTCGTATGTGACCGTGAAAGGATTAAAATGCCCACAACCACTGTCAAAAGAAACATTGTTCCTAATATTGGAAGCACAATTAGGAAAATAATCCTTTTACTTGTCCTTCTACCGGTTCCCTTTTGAGTTGATTGAGGGCAAGGCTTCAATCCAACAACTCTGCCACATAAATCTTTATTGTTTCTCAGGGCATCAAATGGAGCTTTTTGACATGCAGTAATGTTGGGAAGAGGACCTTCCAATTGATTGTAGGATATATCAATAGATATCAAACTGAAGCAATTATCATAGCTGGTGAGGATAGTTCCTGTTATTCTATTATGTGATAGATTAATCTTCTCAATGCTTTTCAAATCGCCTAGCTCTGGTGGCAATTTGGATTCCACCATGTTTTGGTTGAGATAAAGAGTTTCTAGTGAGGGAAGAATTCCTATTTGAGACGGTATACTTTCAATGAGTGCATTGTGGCTCAAATTCAGTTCCAATGGCTGTGTGCAATGGCCTAATTTTTCTGGACTAGGGCCACTAAGATTATTGGCCAACAAGCTTAGATTTAAAATGCACCAATTTCTGATGGTTTATTTCCTGATAGATGGTTCTTGTCAAGTTTAAGCTCAAGCAACAAATTCAACTTCCCCAGACTTCTTGGAATGTTCCCATGTAATCGATTAGAAAAAAGGTGAAGTTGTTGCAGGCGAGATACTTCGCCAAGCCCTGTTGGTATTCTGCCAGAAAGATTGTTGTTCGAGATCTTCAGCATTATCAAATTCAGAAAGGCGCTCCAATTCCAAGACAACTTACCATAAAATTTATTGTTGCTCAAGTTAATATGGTCCACTTGTGGATAAACTCCAAAATCTTCAGAGATATTTCCTGACAGTTGGTTTCTTTGGACAGTTATAGCTTTTAGGCTTAGTTTCTTGGAATAGAGCCCACAAAGTTGTTATCTTGTACTGTGAACCACTTCAGTGAGCCACCATTGCAAATGTTTTGGGGCAAATGACCAGTAAGATTGTTTTCATTTACTTGTAGCATTTGTAGATTGGTAAGATTACTGAATACATTTGGAAGAACACCACTTAGTTGGTTCGTGAAAAGAAGAAGAACAACTAGTGTCTTCATATTTTCCAATTCAGGATTCAGGAGGGAGAGCGCCATGTAAGTTGTTTTTATAAAGTATCAGTTCAGTTAATCTTGTTAAATTTCTAATGGCTGAACGAATATGCCCTGTGACATTGTTTCCATAAAGGGATAAAGAAGTTAACTTTTCCAATTTAGCAATAGAATCAGGAATCTTCCCTATGAGATTGTTATTATACAGCTGAAGAGTCTCTAGAAATATGAGTTTTCCAATCTCTTCGGGGATAGGTCCAGATAGATAATTATCGAAAAGATAGAGCAAAGTCAAGTTTTCTAAGTTTCTAATAGACTGTGGAATGAGCCCGGTGAGCATGTTCTCAGTAAAAGAGAGTTCGACGAGTGATTGGAGTTTTCCAATCTCTTCTGGAAGGGGACCTGATAGCTGGTTAATCGCAAAAGAAAGGAGATTGAGTTTTGTCAAGTTTCTAATTCTTGAAAGAATACTTCCTGAAAGATTGTTGGCTAGAATGGTTAGGTTGGTCAGATTTCCAATAGAGGTAGGAATTGATCCTGTAAACTCATTCAGTTCCAAAACGAGTTCAACAAGGGATGTGAGAAACATAAGCTCTTTAGGGCTAGGGCCATAGAATGAGTTATTGGAAAGGTACAAGAACCTAAGGTTGGTTAGTTGATTGATTTGAATTGGAATGGTACCAGTGAAATGATTTGAATGCAAGCCAAGATAGGTTAGTCTAGAAAGATTACCAATCTGGGATGGAATGCTTCCATAGAGTGCATTTTCATAAAGATCAATTATAGTTAGATGGGGTAGAGACAAGAAATTAAGATGATCAATTGTACCTTTAATGCCAGAACTAATAATGCTAATGACTGATATTCTTCCAGTTTTGGGGTGAATTCTTAGTTTATGATGAAAAAAAAATAAGGCATTCTACAACTGGGACGATTTTTGGAGATTGTTCTACAAATGGGGTGTTCGCATTCCGCGAATGCGAGCTCACTGACCTCGCATTCCGCGAATGCGAGCTCACCGGGTGCCAACGCCCCATTTCGAAAAGAAAAAAAGAGAAAAATGAGTCAAAGAAGCAGAACGCAATATCGAAACATAGCTGTCGAATAGCAAAACAAAGAAAACAGAGCTGTCGAACAGCAAAACAAGGATTTACAAGGATTTCGTTTCTAAGATTTACGATTTAGTGTTTTACGGCTTTAGCACTTAGGGTTTTAGGATTTTTGCATTACAATAAATTTGCCTTGATTATCGCTTTATTTTTTTAATCAAAATAGTAATCCTGCCAATAATTGTAAAAGGTAAAACACGCAAGATTTAATCGCTAGATATTTGATTTAATTTTTTTTCTTGTCCTTTTCAACTACCAAACAAATAACATGCACTTCATAAAAAAAACTTATATAAGTTTTTTAAATAACATTGCGTTATGAAATTTCTAAAATTACAGTTGAAATTGTAACAGATATTAATGACAATTAACTATTAGATTCTTATAACTAATATTCATCGGTGTCAACAAATAAATACGATTCATTAATAACAAAGGAAAATTAGAATTTGATAAAAAAAATTTATTTGATAAAAAAGGAAAAAAAGTTAGTATTTTATTCATAAAATATAGTCAACACCTTACATGTTAACAATTTCATATAAGTTTTGCATTGATATATGAAATAGAAAGTACTTTTTCTACTATTTAAATGTATTATAATAAAATAACGTATTTCCAACCGTACAATTATCAATTTTTTTTAATATAAAAGAAATATGATTTTTTTAGAGTACATATTTGATGACTTTAGGCATGTGCAAGTTTTAAAATAAAAAAAATTCATTCCTCTGCTAATTACAGATTTTCTCTAATATTTCTCCAAAATATAAGATTTTAGTAGAGCTTTTAAAATAAGATTTTACCACCGACAGCATTTTAGTAAAGGCAAATTCTACAAAACAAACAATATTTACAGTTAATTTTACATTTTTTTGGGAGCTCGTAAATTTCATTTTAAAATTTTGTTTCTAGCAAGTTTGAATTTAATTTTCTGAAAGTCATACTTATAAATGCGAAATCTAACAAAAAAAATAAATACAATTTTTGGAGGTCAAATTTATCAAATGCGAGCTATTTGAAAATTTTTTTAAAAAAACATTTAGGAGCTCGCATTTAGCTCTTACTATTTTCTGGAAAAAATTCTCTAACTCCCAAAAAAAAAGTAAAAAAATTTAAATTATACTTAGAGCTCGCATTCGCGGAATGCGAGCTCAATAAGTAGAGCTCGAGCTCGCATTCGCGAGAATGCGAGCTCAATAAGTAGAGCTCGCATTCGCGGAATGCGAGCTCAATAAGTAGAGCTCGTATTTCGCTAATGCGCGCATTCCCCGAATGCGAGCTCTACTGAGCTCTACTGAGCTCGCATTCGGGGAATGCGAATATTCCCCTACGGAATACCTCGCCAAAATCACCCCTTTTGTAGAATTTTTTTAAAATTTATCGCAAAATTGAAAATTTCTCTCCAGTTTTGTTACATTGAATTCCAGGCCAATTGCTGCAAGAATTGGAAGAAGCCAACCAGGATGACAACTGGGATTGGCTATGACTATCAAGACTGGCTTTCCATGTTAAGAGAGCTTTCCCTTCACTTCCATTTCTTGATAAAGCATCTACATGCATTTGGGAAGCAGCATTTATTGCAGAAGTAGAAAGCAACTGTAGGATGGTCATGGGTACAAAAACTAAACTGCTAACACTCAGTACTCTTCAAGATGAACATATTTACTTCCTGGAGATGTTCTCAAGAGAAACCTTTTGCTGGAAGCTGGCGGCCTTCGTCGCATATATGCAAGTATTTATGGAGTTGTAGATCCAAAAAATGGATCCCGCCACCAAAGATCAATTCCAATCCTCATCTATGTAGCAAAAAAGTCCTGGTTCTTAATGAATTACTACTTGACATAGATGACATACATTGATTACATGTATCACAAGTTGAATGCATTTATGCATTTGTTGAGAGCACTCATGTAATACCAACATTTAGCTTTTGCTTTAGAAATATAATCTTCATTGAATTTAATTTTATTAATTTTCATAAGGACTAAATTTGATTCATTAAAGTTTAAAGTCAATAATTTGAAATTTTCTTAAGGATTATGATAATGTATGCTTTATGAGCGTTACCATTTCTATTAAACCTATTGTTTTCTAGAGTTTGCCTTTGCCTTATGTATTAGGGAATTAAATCATATGGTGTTTTAAGAGAGAATCAATGGAAGTAATATATGTAACTCGTTTCGTTATTATTATTATTTTTTTTTGGGCATTTAACTAGTTTCTTCAGTGGTTCACATAATCGGACACAAATTTTGGGTATAATGCACATAATCATGTTCCATAATGATCAATTGACAGAATTAAGAAAAAAGCTTTTAATTCGTTTTCTATGACTTTGGGTTGATCAAAATCCACATTCACAAAAGTCAAAATTTGATGGATTATAACTAAGACATCGCTTATGATTAATTGGGAACTAAGGGTGTATCCTTTTCCCGTAGATTTTGTTCTTTTCAAGAAACTTGTCAATACGGCTACTAAGCCTTTGTTTCAGTCCCGTCTTTAAGTTCTTGATGTTTTAATTGTCAAAGGCGTGCTTTCATGATTTGATAAAATGGAAAATTATTTGGCAATTAAAAATTTAGGTGGCCAGCTCTCCATCTCTATTGGTTTCTTTATTCAGAAAACTTTAAAGAACCAATTCTAGAGTCTTAATTTAAAGGAAGAGTTAGTGCTTAAGTTCAACCTATTACTTTTTTGGCTTTATAATAGAGCAACCAAGTTGGTTTAATTAATAATTAGTGCTTAACCGATAATCGTTGACTAATCATTTACTCTGAGATTGAGAAATCTTTGAATTTTGGGAGTAATTAACAGTTAACCAAAGACGTGGATAATCTGTGCCATCATTCAGTTGGAAAAAAGACGTGGATAATCTCGCTTAATAATCACTCAATAAGCTCGCAAGTACCTTGCAATAGTGAACGATTTTTTTAACCCTCAATAAGTTTCAAACTTTGCTCGCAAGCATCCTGTAATGTTGAGAATAGCATTCTCAAGCGATTTCCAGCTTGATTTTTCGCATTTTTTTTTTTGCAGACGAATGTTGAGAATAGCATATTCCGGCAGTTTCTAGATTATTTAACTCCAGTCGCTAATCAGGGCGTGATTGACTCTTGTTGGGCGTTTCCAATCGTTGACATAATCGCAGCTTATTGTTATATGGAACAGAAGGAACACGTGAACAAAATTTTAGTGCCGGTATCGAGGCAACAGCTCGTAGATAAGGCACCAAAGATGCCGAAGAAAAGGAGATGCATGAAGACAGTTACGCAAATAGTTTCAAAAAGATGTTCGAATGCGTTCAAAAGAATGAAGTATATTCCCAAAATGCATATCTAAGTTACGACTATTATAGGGATCATGATAGGGAGGCACTAGATCCAAATTGTTGAAAATATACGGTGTTTAGATGTAGAATGATTTCTAGGAACAAGACATATTGGACGTTGAAAGACCGATTGGTCCTGGCTAATTTGAGATATGCAACGATGTTTCAACTTTGAAAATATTTTACAAAAGTATGAGAGGGGGGCTACTTGGCAAGGAGGCAAAGAATTAATAGTTATTTCAGGCTTCAAGCGCAAAAAGATATAAGAATACATATCATATTGTACTATTAGTTGCGTCGGGAACCGTTAGTGCCGGTAAGTCCTATCTAAATGCAGCTGATTGTTACGACAGATTATAACATAGTGGTTCACTAGGCATATAAGAAAATAAAGTTAACAGTAAAGGTTCATACTTTGAATACTAATGATAATAAGTATAGTAGTCCATAGAGGAAAATAATACCAACACTAAAAGTTTAACATCTATATTTAATTTAAAAATGCTCAAAAGCATGCTACTAGAAGCCAGCAATAAGTTGAGGTCAGAAAGAGATACCCAGATCATTAACACCCCCATCATCCCCAACCGCATTATCATTTCCAACGGTATCATCATTCCCAATCGCATTTCCCAATAATTTACATTCTCAGAAATGTAAAAATCGTTAATAAGCTCGCAAGCACCTTGCAATAAGCTATTGCAGGGTGCTTGTAGGCTTATTAAGAAATGCTTATTGCAGAGTGCTTGCGAATTTATTAAGCGATTTTTGCATCCCTGAAGATATTAAACTAATGGGGGATGCAATTGGGAATGATGATGTGGTTGGGGATGATGAGAGCGTTAATGATCCGGAAATGCTTCCAGTTTGAGAAGATAAAAAAGTTAACTCGAGAAGTAAAATCTTAATTCATTTATAGAATAATGGTCTCAATTCTCATGTTTTATATAAACTATATTTAGGAGAATAATCAAATAAGAAAGTTCTTCCCTTTGCCAATTTCTCATATTCCATCTTTACAATCCCCAACACAGTAGTAAGCAAGCTAAAAATCCTTTTTAGCTGCATAAAAAAACTAAATTGTACCCCGACAAACTTCAATGGACAGGTTGTCGAAACCTGTGCAATAATAAAAACCTGCTCAATTAAAAGTAATTTCTGTAGATAGTGGTAAGTAGGGTCGAATCCACAGGGACTGGGTGTAACTGTTTCTTTTCAAATTCACAATAACAAAGGGGGTGTTTTTGTGCAGAATGTGACAATCAAAGAAATTCAAATAAAATCTAAGAGACTACTAAAAATTAAATAACAATTTCCTAAAATCAAATGAATGATAACTAAGGATCTAGCCAAGAAATAATTTCAGCAATGGTGCACCTAATTGATCATCGAAACAAAGGCAATCCCAATTATTTATCAATAAATAGGTTATAACTACCAAACAAACGATGGCAGTCAACCCCTCCTTACTGTGTCGGTGATTAAGGTACGCCCGTTAATCACTGCTCTAATTAGGAAATAATCCTAGGTACGCCCGTAAGATTTAATTTCCCAATTGCCTTACGTATTAGAGGAGCCCTATTCTAACCAAATAACGCACTACCAGGGTTATTTCAGATTAACCCGCATATCCCCCTGACACAAACCTAATCGTGCCAGCTGTCACTAATTCAAGACAATTAAACAATTACGGATTTAATGCCTTAATTGACAATAGATTACCAAATCAATTAATTATCCGAATCCAAGATAATCAATTAATTAAATAATCATAAACATAGCAATCGAGGAATATGCGAATACCAATAAATAAAAGAAAAAGATAAAATTAAATCGATCTCACAATTTTTAGACGAATCAAAACCTCCGTTGCTCCTTGACTAGACAAAGAAAATTAGTTCATTCTTGGTGAACAAAGCCCACGCAAAATTGAAACAAGAGTTGTCTGCTCATGCGAAGGAAGAAAAACAATCAAAAGCTACAAAAGGAAAAGTCAAAGGCTGATACTTCATTCCTCTTGACATGCGCAGGGGGCAACCACAAAAGACGAAAGAGAAAAGTCAAAGAAAGCTAAAGGGAGTCTATTGTTTTTCCTTGTCATCACCAACGAGAGAACTACTACTAAAAAGCTAAGAAACGAAAAATCAAAGCTACTCTAATGCTTGGCTCCTGTGCGGCGGCCCCCTTGCGGAGAGGACGAGGCCCCTGGACGCCACCCCCCAGGTTTGCTTTCTTTTTCCTTTTTTAGTTGCCGTCTTCGGTCAAAATTACCAAAAAGGTCTTGCATCTCCTTGTTCCAAGAATGCCCTTGATTGCCTGCTATTTGAACTCTTTCCCGATAACTGTCAAATTGATCTTGATTGTGATATTTTTGTTCTACTCCCTGAAATAAATGTAAATTACGAAAAGTGAGTAGAATCTAATAATTAATTCACATCAGGTCAGGTAATAGGAAAAATTAATGATAAATAAGTGATAAAATTGCAACATATCATCAATATCTTGAATGAAAAAATTTGGGAAAATCGTCCAAAACGTCCCTCACATTTTGTAAAATAACTCTTTTCGTCCCTTACTTTTAAAAGTGTAATTTTATATCCCTTACACATTCACATCGGTCAAATTTAGTCCCTAACTAGGTTTCCGATCATTTTTTTGCCCGAATCCATCATGTGCAAGGCACGTGATCATTTTTTAAGGGTAAATTTGTCAAATTTTGTTTTACATAATCTGATCTATAGTCCTCCACATTTTATAAAATAAATTTTTTCGTCCCTCACATTTTATAAAATGATTTTTTTCATCCCTCACATTTCACAAAATGAATTTCTCCATCCCTCACATTTCAAAAAATGAATTTTTCATTTCTCACTAATTATGTGTATGAATACATTTTTTTAAACACATGTATATGTCTATTTGATTTTTGTTTAATAATAATAGCATAAACACATGTAATTGGACCCAACTTGTGGGCTATCTTCTCTTTTTGTATGATTATGACTAACGTTTACCAATAGAATCTTAATTTGCATATTATTATTGTATTTTGACCAAAAATAGCTTCATTTGCCAACTTGACAATGAATGCCAGATTTTTTACTAGCTAATACTAGATGAAATCAAATGATCACGTATAATTATATTGTTAAGTGAAATAAAAAAGACACATACATATATTTATGCTATTCGTATTATTAAGTAAAATCAAATAGATATATACATGTGTTTAAACAAAATGTATTCACACACATGGTTTTTTTTTAGGGTTTCCCTTACA